ACTTTATACTGCAGATACCACATGGAGTGTGGTCACTCTACGAACAACTGTAGGGAGCTCAAGGATAAGATAGAAGAGCTAATAATGGTTCGACACCTTAAAGAGTATGTCTTTAAGGATAAAGAGAAGAGAGATGCTCGAGAAGGGCCTGAGAAGCAACAACAGGAATAAGAGCTCGAGGAGAGGCAACCCAATAGGGGAGGGGATTCACATGATTGCAAGAGGCCCCACTGATAGCGATTCACATAACGCCCGAAGGAAGAGCTATCAGAAGGGGAAAGAGGTCGCAAAGGTTCAAGTTAAACGAGTTTTGGACAAGCTCGGGTTCATCTTGTTATAATAATCATGTCTTAATCGATCTTTCGAACTGCTCATTTTACGAATCAAGTCTAGCCGATCTTTCGAACATTTCATTTCATTTAACAGCTCTATTAGTGGGTTTGTCGGCCAAACTTCACCGTGTCGTTGCAATTTTCCTTGTGCCATAATGAAATATAGATTAATTATTTATAGATATTGGTAGATGAAAATATGTAAGTTGGTGAACAATTTTTTTTTATTAATTATATTAGTGAAATATGTAGTAGAAATTGAGATAAACTGATTTTTTTTTTCATTTGCGTTTCAATGATGCAAATCTTAACTAAAGAATAAAAAAACAAGCAAATAAATAAATAAATACTTCCAGTTGCACCATCCTCAATTTCCCATGTGAGAGTCCTGGTCGTATGTGTTTAATATTTCCAACCTAAACCACATCTTGGGGACCCAATTCTATATCTTGTCTCCTCAGAAATCTATACATCAAATTCATGTCAAATCATCAAAACCAACCACAACATTTTCTAGGTTAGCAAGCACAAGTCACGGTTGGTGCAATGTATTGCAACGAAGTAATTTAATGTTATATAATGTGCATAAAGATCGGTGCTTAAAATATCTAGGAACCAAGCAAAATTGCTTATAATCTATATATATATATATAATAAGAATTAACATTTACCATAAATAGTAGTAAAAAAAAGTCAACCCACATTTATTATATACTATTTTCAGCAATTTTTTTATTTTACATTTTAATTTTAATTCATTATCAAAAAATTGGATGATTCCTAAATTAATGGATTTTAAATGCACCTATCATGTTTCAAAAATTATAAATCATTTAAAATTGGATGGTTCCTAAATTAATGGTTACAAAATTTTCAAAGCATATAATTTATATTAATGTACGGTAAATATAAGGTTTTCAGAATCGGACCGTCATCGAAACGATCAAGTTATTTTATTAGATCATTTATGGTTGTTCAGATTTTAATACAGTATACTTTAGTGTATATATATAGTACTTTTTGTGGTAAATTTAAATAAAAATTGTTACTTAAATATCTAAATAATTTATAAATTTAAATGTTTAAACTAATTGATAAACAATTTATAAATCTCTATTTTATTTATGTAATTTTATTTAAAATAACTTTTAATGTAACAAAATTTGTTTAGAAAATCCTATCAGTCCAACAAACTGGTGTTGACGGATTCGATAGCAGATATTTTATTCAAGCGCACTAGACTGATTATAAACCGGTTCTCGGTCCATCCGGTCGGACTGTGCCAGAACCGATTTAATTTAAAAATAATAAGTAAATCATGATTAATGTTATTTATTTATTTAATTTATAATACAATCAAAATATTGTTTTCCCGTGCATCGCACGGGCCACGCACAAGTTTCCTTTAGTCATATCTAGGAAGTTTTGGAAACAAATATATTAGTATTGATTGTGTTTTTTTGGTTAACCATGACTAATTTTTAAAAAGTTAATATAATTAGTTGTTAGTGAGATTTTATGTTTATATTAAAATAATATTTAAAATAAAATTTATTTGATGTAAAAGTAGCAGATTGGTGATTGAAAGTGATAAGTAGTTAAAATTATGTGAGTTGATGATGAATATAGTGAATTAAAGTTGATGTGATGTGTAAGAATGATTAAATAGCATTATTTAATTATATTGATAATATTGAGAATAATAAGATTAAGTTCAAGTTGAGTCTAATTTTGAATCGAGATTAGATTTTTTTTAGTATATTTATAAATAAACACACTCTTAACATCCTATTTATAAATAAGGTACCATGTTGCTTTTACTCAATCAAACACCAACAGTCTCACTGGTCCAAAATGTCATTTGATGTCACTTTCACTAAAGCAATAAAGCAGCTGGCAATTAAAGACACAAAAACAGGGAAGTACCCAATGTTACAGCTAACCCTTCAATTTTTTAAGTTTTTTTTTTTCACTTAAAGAAATGGTGTAATTTGCTCTTTTTTTTTTCACTTAAAGAAATGGTGTAATTTGCTCTTTTTTTTTTCACTTAAAGAAATGGTGTAATTTGCTCAATTTCAGCATGGTCTCAAATCCCAGTAAAGAACACACACATGCTTAAAACCCCTCCAGGCTCCAACAGCAGCAAAAACCAACCCCACAGTATTTTTTAGTTTCCCGAGGTAAAATTAGTAATAATTATACAAGTATACAACTAGATATGGTAAAGATTTAATTCAAGTTTTTTTATATGTAAGAACAAAATTGTCATAATTAACATTGAAATTCAATGGTTTTGTATAAGTTGTAATTAGATCATATTTTTTTCTCCTTTCAATATAGATACTTGAAAAATTTTATACTTTTACAACAAAAAAGAAGTAAAATAATTTATATTGGTATTGTTAGATTATAAGCACTTATGTACAATCTATATATATAATAATAAGGATTTAACATTTTAATTTTGGGTGAAAATATGTCCAATTTTTTGTCGTACTAAAATTGGAAGTTTTATTATTTTCTCTTTAACGTCACTCACATTAAATATTAATCTATAAATATATTTTGTCACACTAACTATATAGTTGATATTATACTTAATTCTTACCTTTCTAGGTATTTTACTCTTTTGATATCGAATAAGCTAATATTCAATATCAATGCAAAATAATAATAATAATAATAATAATAATAATAATAGACCTAAAGGTTACTTATAAATAAATTATAAATATATATTATGTAGAAAAAATAGCATAAAATAATGTTAAAATAGTAATTTAATATATTTTTTGATATAGATTAGAATAATTTTTTAATAATAGAGAAATAGATGTAAACAACAATTTGAAGTATCAAATAGATGAGTTTAAAAGGATAAATTAGCAGGACATCTGTCGAGTCATCACTATGCAAACCCCGGGAGTAAAAATTATAATTATCATAACATAAATTTTTTTATTAGAAAAGTTATTAAGAAATAATGGAGCTTTATGAGTTCGGTGTAGAAAAATGCGTCAACCTATCAGTTCAAGGCCTAAAAGATAAATCTATCCGTTCAAAACTCGAACGATATGAAGCTAAAAGGTTAAAAATTTATCGATTTGACTCATATTGATAATGTTAGATCTTTTAAATATTTGATAGAATTTATCTTTAAGGCTTCGAACCAAGATTGATAAAACTCCATTGATAATTGATAAATGATATAACTAAATAAATATTAAATAATAGAATATTTAATTATTTATATTATATATCCATGCATCGTAGGATACACATACTATTAAATAATAAATAATTAACAAATTTGTGTTCTACATTTAATTTGTTAAAAATAATAATTTTAATTACTTATAAAATTATATATGTCTAGAAAATATAATCTATATAAATATAATTTCGAATGATTTTTTTTAATCCTCCTTGTTTTGTAATTATAATTTCTATTGTTTGTCTCTCATATAATAATTTTTCAAATATTTTAATTATAATATTCATTCATATTTTTCATTTTCAACATCATAATAATACTCCAACTCTCTATATACTTTATCTAAGTCTAGACGTATTTTGTTGTTTTTTAATATTTCTTAATATTCACTTTTTGTTAATACTTAATTTTCCTACCATCCTTTCACGTGTTTACACATATTTATTGGATCATATTGATTGGAAATAGATAAGATGGCGCTACCGTTGGATATTGAATCACAATAGGATTTACCGCAGATAGATTTATCAGTTTAATTAATGGAAAACACAGAATAATTTATTGTAATTTTAGTAACCTAAATTTTTGTGTAATAGTGTATGTACATTCCAAATTTGTAGAGCTCAAATTTTCTATTTCCTGTCCGCCTTTTACGATTATTGCTTTCTCCTCTCTAAACTTACCCAATTAAAACAGGCATGATTGCCTTTTAAGTCTGAGACCTCGCATGATATGATAGACAATAGAACCGAGAGTAATTTAATATAAATCAACAACTTTCTCTATAAAAGATATCCATTTTGTGTAAAGATTGTTGGGTACACAATTTTATCCTTTAAGACGTACTTCTGTTTAACACTGTATATTGCTTGTCATTTTCCCATGTTCCCCACCATGGCGATTCCGTGGACAAATAATTCAAAGAAGAAAAATGAAAGGAAATGAAAGGGGAATGAAAATTCTTCACAATACGGAAAGCGTTATTAAATAATAGTAACATTTATAGCACTTGGGCCTGGGCTATAGGAATAACCACGAGTACTTTTGTAATTTTTTACCACGTTTCATCCCGAAACATGCGAGTCTGTCACTTAAGCTCAGCGTATTCGAGAATTATATATAAGGGGGATGCATGAGCTGTTTTTCCTTTTTAAAAAATCAGTCACAAAAAATATATTGAACTTTTCACACCGTTCGATAGTAATTTAGCTTTTTTTATTTCACAAAATGTATTTTTTTTTTCACCTCAAAAAATACAAAGGTTATACAAATAATTCGTTTAACTGCCGCTTACCAACTGCATTTTCGTCACATATCAGTTGCATAACTGTCGTATATTCATCACACAATTCATTTGCACTTTGACTTCTTCCAAACCAGAAAGTATGAAGGGTTATGCTTATACCTTCACAATTTTAATTTTCGCACAATATCATCTCACAATTGTCGCATATTCATCGCACAATATCTTAACACCAAATTAACTTGGGTGTGAAAAACTTAACATCTTCCGTGGGGGTGAAAAAGGCTATTTTTGCCTTTGTAATTATATATGCTCGCCACCTTGATTTCTATTTTGTGGCCAATAATTACTTTTTATTCTCACCAGTCACTATAATAGTAATATAACTAGATTGTCTCTGGCTGGAAACGTGAGATAAGATAGCTCAGGACAATGGATGATAACAATAGTTCATAAACACGGTCTCCCAATAATCTTCTACACTTGGAAATCAAATAAGATATCGGGACATAAAAATACAGTTCCACTCCAAGGCTAATATAAATGGGAAAAGAAAAAACTTGCCTGCATAATGTTAATTTTCAAAAATAATCAGGCAGAAAAAGATTGAAATGAAACTCAAAGACGCGCTATGGTATTTATTAAAATGTTACTTTCTGCTTAAGGAATTGCGAATTCCAGAGTAGATTAGTCCCAAAGACCGGCCAATCAAACAGACTAGGAAAAATGAGATGGCATCACTCACTTTAGCAATGACTGCTTTTACAAATGGCATTGTGATGTCAGCCAGTTCCAGGAATAGACTGAAATAGTACCTCCTGCATTAAGGAACAACGTTCAAACTCTTCAGTCGGAATTTCAAGAACTTTTCTTCTGAATGCATCAATGAGTTATTTAACATGTCAAAAGCAGATGACAAATTTTTTCCTACTCTTGCATAAGCATTATAAGAATAAAGTGCAAGAGATTCGTGAGCAATAAACAGTAAAAACAAAAGTTCAATGGAATATAGTAATAATAAGAATAATAGTC